GGCAACCATCGTGAGGGTTGCGACTATTCTGTCGGGAAATGGACCTATGATCCCTCGTATCCGCTCTACGACTCGGACTGTCCGTACCTCAGCTCCGCGGTGAGTTGCCAGAGAAATGGACGCCCTGACTCCAACTACCAAAAATGGAGATGGAGGCCAAAGGCCTGCTCCGTTCCAAGGCAAAAACACCACGGACTTTGTTGCTTTTAATGTGCCGGAAGACTTTCGACATTCCGTTTAATATGTTCTTTGCACTAGTTTAACACTCTTCGGTTGGTTTCTGTATAGGTTCGATGCATTGGGATTTCTGGGGAAGATGAGGAGAAAAAGGATAATGTTGGTGGGAGATTCAATAATGAGGAACCAATGGGAATCTCTTATCTGCTTGATCCAAGGAGTTATCCCGACCGGTCGTAAGAAAGTCACGTACAACGGTCCAACGATGTCTTTCCACGCTTTGGTAAGAGACGTACATGCTTCTGTTGTCGGATCACATTACAAATTAAAAGCAGTAATCCTTCCTCCATCCGTTTCAAATTAGTTGATGTTTTAATTTTTTTTACAGTTTTAAGAAAATTAGAAAAAGTTACATGTACCTTTATTTAATAAAGATAAAATTGGAATTTTTTTAAAAAATTATCTAAAAAATCTAAAATGATAATCTTTTTGAAACAGAAAAAATAGTTTAAAACGTCAATTAATTTGAAATGGAGAGAGTAGAGTAGTAATTATAAGTTGGTAAGTGTAGGGGGTGGTCCATTAATTCGGTTGGTTTTGTTGGGTTATTTCCGCCATTCAGGTTGGTCGGGTCGGAGAAAATTATATTGAAAATGGAATGATACTTAGTGCAATTCATGTACATTTACTTTTGGTTTTGGTTATCATAAAATATATTACTTTTCTAATTATTTTTAAAAAGAACTTTTTCTGTTTCCATATTTGTATAGTTGAAGAGAAATTTAATTGAAGAAATATTTATAGAGATTCAACTCGTGCTCGTTGGAAATTTTATTTGGGCCAGCTAGACTGATTAAAGACCAAATTTTCAAAATGTTAAAATTAGCAACCTGGCATAATGAATATTTTTAAAAAATGAAAGTAACACATGGATTATAAATATAAAAAAATGCATCTAAAATTGTTTGGCTCAACCAGTAAGAAAGAGAGTAAAATTTCTTCTCAATTCGGATCCGAGTTCTCATTTGGAAAGAGATCCTATATGGGTTTCCGATCAACTTTATTATAAAAAAAATATATATAAAAAAAGCAACAAAAAAAATCAAGGTGCAGCTCTTAACATGTCTATTAATCCCATATATAAAAACCCCTCATTATAGACTGAAAAAAACATATAATTATTTGTTCTTATTTTTACTTAATTTTTATAATAAAATTTCCTCTATTTTCTACATATAAAATTACAAATGATTTTGGAAGTTATTAAATCGTTCACATTTCGCTTCAGTTAACCATACGGAACAGATACCATAGAGTGTTTTTGTACACCACTGGTGTTAAAAAGGCCTTTAGCAGATTAGGGTTTTGTGTGGCGACAGGACTTTGAGATGTCAGTAGAGTTCTGCTGGGCCCCGCTGTTGGTGGAACTGAAGAAAGAAGGAGACAACAAAAGGGTTTTGCATCTTGACTCAATCGAAGACAATGCCAGATACTGGCGTGGTGTAGACATCCTCGTCTTTGATTCAGCTCACTGGTGGACCCACTCCGACAAATGGAGCTCGTAAGCCTTTTTTTTTATTCGACTAATCTTTTTTTTTTGACTGAACGTTATCCATCTTATTTGATTTAGTTCTTCAATATGTGGTAATTCATCGCATAACCTTTAAAAAAATTATAACGTAACCTAATGATCGATCTTTGATCTAGAATTGGGATAGAACCGTTGATCTCCCGGACCACTGTAGACTGTAGTTGGATTTGAACCCAAATATGGGACGTAAAAATAAGTCCAGAGATCAGTCGGGGGTCCAATATAGCCCAGATTTCGGACACCAAGATTAGGATATACAATAAAATACTGGATTATTCGGAACATAAATTCCGTAAAAAAAATTAAGTAATTTATAATTTTTAATAAGCATCATCGATAGTTTTTAGTTTAGAAGAAAATTTAAGTGTAAATTTGAAATGTTAAGAAACATGAAGGGTATTTTTAACAGTATTTTTTGTAATATATCTAAATGGCTACTGAATAGTTTGGGTGCCCGAAAATTATGTAAGTTGTTACCATTGTTTAAAAAAAAAACAAATTGTACAATCGAGATAATCGAATTGGGACATTACATTACTTGTATGATGTTGGGACATTACATTCATAGGTGGGATTATTACATGGATGGAAACAAGGTGTTCAAAGCTATGAACCCTATGGCTGCCTATGAGAAAGGACTGAGCACGTGGGCTAAATGGGTGGAGGTAAATCTTGATCCACGCAAAACCAAGGTTATTTTCAGGAGCATGTCGCCCAGACACAACAGGTATCTGAGCTGATCTTTGCCTCTCATATCTCATATTATTTCTTTAGCTTAATATATATATACGGGTAAAATGTGTGAACAATTTCATTAAACCAATACTCAACTGTCCCTTTGGAAACCAACCACATGATCTTGATACAGAGAAACGATATATAGCGTTGATTGTATCTCACCCGTTTCCACTGTAGAGAGAGCGGGCGAAGGTGCTACAACCAGAGGCAACCATTGCCATACTTCAGCAAACCACACGTTCCCGGGCAGTTGATCGTGTTGAAAGAGGTGTTGAGGAGGATGAAGTTTCGGGTATATTTGCATGACATCACGACTATGTCAGCGTATAGGAGAGATGGTCATCCATCGGTGTACAAGAGAGCGATTGGACAGGAAGAGAAGCGCCACATTGCGGAAGCTCCATCAGATTGCAGCCACTGGTGCTTGCCTGGAGTTCCTGACATTTGGAACGAGATGCTCTCTTCTATCCTCTTTTCCAATGTTGTCTGAGTTTGTGTTGAAAGTTGCTCTTGCTCTTATTACCGCTTGTTTGACCGTTTTAACAATGTTGTCTTTCGTTTATTATGTGCCTTTCGAAATGTTAACTGATATGATATTTTGTACGGAACCTATGTTTGTGAAGAAAATAAATACAAACCATCCAATCGCCAAAAGATTAATTTGTCACTTCATTTCCCAACAAAAACAACAAAAAATGGAGAAAGAATTTTAACGAAAAAGAAAACAGAGTATCGCATAGATTCAACATGAACAAACTATTTCGGCAAATCAGACAAGTGTGTTCTTCACAAACAAATCAAACTAACTCACTTTGTGGTTGTCCAGTGGTTGTAACTCGTGTGTGTAACACGTGTCAAGATCTCTCAAACGATACGATATATAAAATCGTATTTTTTTATCAATAGAAATTTATATTAGTTAAAAGATTGATATGTGATAAGATGCGGAATAGAATAATTTTCCAATAAGTAAGGACCCCGTCGGCATTTTTCTATGAGAAATTAATTTGGATGATTTGGACAAGTTTGCTTATCTAATGCATCTTCGGTCTGCCCTATATAATATTAGACTATTAAATGAACAATTAAACTATTGCTTACCGAATCGCCAATTTAAGAATCAAAACACACACCCGAAATTCCTTTGGTTTTTTTTTCAAGTAATGTATTTTTTTTATATAAATGTGATTGCATTAAACCTCAAAAAATGTTACAGCAGTTTGAAGAATAGAAAAACATATACAAAATGTTGGATTCCCATACGCAAGTGGTCAAAAGATTTCTCTTAAGAACTGAGAAAATGAGTGAGTCATCTAAGACCTTTTGTTAAGTCATACCAATCCTCCTCGAGGAGATGCTTTGGAGTTGCATTGTTTCCTAACTGTATTGACAGTAGTAGCATTCGAATATGCCAATCAACTCGAGCCTGAGTATATTTGGTAGTTCTGGACTTTTCTCGGAATATCCGAGCATTACATTTCTCCATAGTATATCTACTACAGTTTTGCATAGGATCTTCGAGATGATACCCCTGTTTCTAGGAGTATTGGTGATGCTTATGAACTACGATAGCAGGTGACGGAAATCAGAGGGGGGATGACTGGAGCGGCGGATGACACATTGTTGCCACAGTACGGTTGAACTATACAGACACTCTAAGAATAGGTGCGGTAAGATTTCATCTGATAGTCCACAAAGAATACAACCCTTGTCAAACTGGAGGCTCCATCGAGATAGGCGGTCTCTTGACGGCAAATGTTGCCACACAAGGAGATTCAGTCTAGGAGGCGTTTTCCGGATCCGAACACTGCTGTACCAGTCAACCGGGGTCCTTGCCGGCTTAATTTGAAGCCAACTCTGCCGTGATGAAATAGTATTCTCGAACTGACCAGAGGCTTGCTTCCACAGAGGGATGTCTGCACCAGCAGAAGTAGAAGGTGGATCAACAAACACAACAACTACTAAAGCTTATTCAAGTAATGTATAGACTATAGACATCTTTGAATTTTTATATTTTTCTATATTTATGTTATGAAGATTATTTAGATGAAGTTAAAATTTTACAGTTTATTGATGTCTTAGAATCTCTAAATGCTAAAAATTTCAGTATTTTCCAAGTATTTATTTAGTGTTTAGAGAACAAATAAATTACGTATCACTAATAGATACAGTAATTATTTTTTTTACAAATTTCTGTATTTTATATGAACACGTGAATAATGACCTTGTAAATAACGTTGCTCCCTTTTCTTGTCACTCTGATGCAAGTCCGTCACTCATTCCGATAACGAACTCTCGCAAGAACAGAAGAACGAAAATGAAAGACAAGGAGAGTTTTTACTAGTTCAGTCACCGAGGGAAGCTCGGACCTACATCTCGGCCGGCGACACCGGTAATACACTAAGAACCACCGGTCTGAAATGATTTCGACGACCACGACAAACCCATGATTTGACGAAGTACAAGAACGAGAAAGAACAACCGAGGAAAAGCATAAACCACCGATTCCAACCTGAATCCCGTCGAGCTCTGCCTCCGATCTTCCTCTCAGTGCATTCTCTCTCTTCTCTCTCTCTCCTTGCCGTTTCAACCAAAACCATCGATCGATAGAAGAAGAAGAAGAACATGGGTTGTTTATAACAAAGCCTAATGTCACAAAACCAACCTGTTCACTAATATTGAACCGAACCATCCGATTAATCAAACCGGACCGAAATCATAACCCTCCGAGAGAGTTAGAGGATTTCTCTTCCTCTACCAAACCCCAACAATCTCCACCTTGGTGGAGGAAATGAATCCTTAGTGTATATCACCACCTGACGACTCATAACTTATTGTTAGCAGCCCTTAGCAAGTCCAAATTATCTTTGGACTTACCGGATCCGAAAATGGACTACGTAAAGAGATCCATCATGTGAGTTACCACCGACTCCACCTTGTTCGCGATCCAGAAGCGAAGATGACACCGCCCTCCTCACAATATCACCAAGGAGACCTGCCCGACTCCACCTGGAGGAGAACTCTTTCCTCTCGAAGGCGAATCAAGCAACCTCGCTCAGTCAACACCGACCAAGCCTTACCTCTTCGGCTGAAAAACTGATCAACGAGAACAACCACCTCATACTAGAGATGACTACTACCTCAATCACAACCGACCGAGCCTTACCCCATAGTGATGATCATACAACCTTTTTCATGGATGTGATGCTCTAGGATGATCATACGATATGAGAACTATGTATGATGCGATGTATTTATTGGATGAATACATTGTTTGTTCATTATTTATTTTGCATATTTGATAAATAATAATATCCATGGATCGTTAAGAACGATCCTAAATTCCTTAGTCGCTTTCATTGTGGGAGCAATGATGAATTAAGACTAACATGAGGCGTGATGGATGATCATGATGATGATCATGTGTATTGGATAAGGATC